ATTTCGTTTTGCTTCTCAAGTAAGTGTATCTTAAACAAGACACAAATACTGATGAGCATCACTTTTTTTGCAGCAGAAATACAGTAAAAATGTTCTTATATTCTTGTGGTTGGGAGCAGAGGTATTTAAGCCTAAAGGTTTTTTTTTTTAAGTCTTAAAAGGTCTTTAAAAAGTCTTCAGTTTACCTTCATAAAACCTGCAGAAACCCTGAAAATTTGGAATAATATTGAAACTGAAATACTAATAAATTGCAACTGTTTAGAACTATTTTAAAAATGACAAAAAAGACAAAATAATCTAACATGATTTAAAAAATAAATAAATAGGAAAACTGAAATAGAAAAATAAAAGCTAATTGAAAATAATAACTGTAATTACATACAAAATAATACAAAAATAGCACTGGTCGTAGCTGTTGTCTAGTCTGTTAGGAGTGATAAATACAGTTTTGTTTATACAAAGCATATACAATAACAGAAGAGACTCGTTTATGTTATCAAGACTCACAACCGAAGTTTGAAAGTGAGTTTGGTTAATGTTTTCTGCATAAATATCAACAACCAGTTGTTTCTTCATTTACATCCATATGCCTTGAGACAAGCACTACACGTTAATCGCAATGTTGGTGCTGCCAAACTCTCTCAGGTTATGAGAAATGGAGAAAAGTAGGTGTATTGTGTGCTTTTTAAGTGCTTGGGCAAAGACAACAACTGAACTAGATTAAACTGGATAGTTATTGGACTGCGTATCTGAGAATAAAAGAAAAGTGGGCACTACATACCATAATGAAGCCAGACCTGTTCGTAAATATGGTTTTTATTAGTGTGTAATACTGACTAGCCTTTGAGATGTAGTGCTGTGGGTGATCTGTTTTTGCCATACAAGTCATTTTTTCTAGCATCCCTATCTATTAAAAAACAGGCATGCAAACAAATACTCAAACCTGAGATGGCAACGTTTTTTGAAATCCCCGAGGAAGCGTTTGTGGTGGATGGGCCTGCATTAGCAGTTATCTGTATGGAGTCTCAGAGGTGCTTCTGGAGGAAAAGCATTGCTGTGTGATTACACGGCTCCACCGGCAACCACTAAGCCCGTTACGAGGTGTTGATTGTGGGGCGTTCGACGTTTGGGGTAGTGCATTGTGTGTGTGTGTATGGTTTGGATTGTTTGATCTGGCCTGTTCGGTCCAGCGCGTCTGGTATAACGGTACTTTTCATAACGAGAGCCTCGCATTTTTCTCCGCTCTCAAAGTAGGCGTCCGGCACACGCTTGGGCAGCTCCTGCTATGTGTTTGTGTGTGTATTCAACCGAGGTTTGCAGTGTAATTACAGTGCTTGCTTAGGCAAGCATCTCTCTTATTATTGCTCATACTTTGGAATAGGGTTTTGAACAAACTTTTAACATGAAATATTAATCGTTTTTGTGTAACTCGTCATGTACTGTTTGTGCCACGAACATGAATGATTGCTTAAATGGTGTGGCTTACTGAGATTTATTTTATTAATCATGGCTTTGTGAGTAAAATCATTTTCCTGTAGCATTTGCTACAGTTAAAAGGTTTGGATGCTTTTATGCTTTTGGTAAGAAAGAAGTTTATTTTTTTTGCTCACCAAGGCTGCATTTATTTGACCAAAAATGCAGTAAAAATGGTAATATTGTGTAATATTATTACGATTTCAAATAACTGTTTTCTATTTGAATATATATTAAAATGTAATTTTTTTTTTTTAGAGTTGATTATTATAGTTAAAAATAAAAAATAAAAAATAGTAGCCTAATTGAATTTAAGTTTCAGCTCTGTTGTTAATTGTAACCTTCCTAATGTAAAAGGGCTCCCTATAACTTAGAGCAGAAGCTAAGGTAGATTTTTTTATTTATTTTTTTATTTCTTTTTTAGGTAGATTTATAGAAAATTGTAATTATAATTGAATTTATTTAAAGAAAGAGCAATTTGTTCAGTAAACCATTGTTTAATTAAAAAACAACAACAATTTGTTTAGTTTTTCTCCTCCTACTGTACAGAAACCATACTGAACTGTGATCTCAAAACCGAGGTACGTACCAAACCGTCATGTTTGTGTACCGTTGCACCCCAAATCACGAGTGTTTCTGTCATTTAAGTGCACACAAAACAAAACGATGTTTGAAGACATTATCATATTAACTCAAAACTGAATGCATACATTTCAATGGGGAAAAAAGTTTTACATTTTCACTAGTGGTCTACTTGTGGCTGAATACAAGTTGCAGTATTAATAGGTAAATAGGGTATTTTACAGTGTATTTATAATGACAAAAGTATGGAGTCACTTTAGTATAGGGACCAATTCTCACTATTAACTAGTTGCTTATTAGCATGCCTATTATTAACATATTGGCTGTTTATTAGTGCTTATAAAACATATTCTGCATGACCATATTGGTCACACTTTATTTTAAAGGGTTACTTCACCCCAAAATAAAAATGGTCATTAATCACTTACCTTCATGTTGTTCCAAATCCGTAAAAGCTTTGTTCGTCTTCGGAAAACAATTTAAGATATTTTGGATGAAAACCGGGAGGCTTGTGACCGTCCCATTGACTGCCAAGTAAATAACACTGTCAAGGTCCAGAAAATTATGAAAGACACGGATACGTGTCTGAACGAAAACAGCACATCCGTGTGGTGCGGCTGACAAGTAGAACAGTATACGCAGTTTACGTTCAGTGGACACTCTCCAAAATGGAGCTACGGTGACGCGGAGGAGACTAATTGATGAATAAAGTCGTTATTTTTGTTTTCTTTGCGTACAAAAAGTATTCTTGTCACTTCATAACGTTATGGTTGAACCTTTGATGGCAGATGAACTATTCTGACGATGTCTTTCATACTTTTCTGGGCCTTGACAGTGTAATTTACTTGGCAGTCAATCAGACAGTCACAAGCTTCCCGTTTTCATCCAAAATATCTTAAATTGTGTTCCGAAGACGAACAAAGCTTTTACGAGTTTGGAACAACTTGGAGGTAAGTGATTAATGACAAAATTTTCATTTTGGGGTGGAGTAACCATTTAAGGTCCAATTCTCGCTATTAACAAGCCATTAAATAAGATTTTTGCCTCGCACATCAAAGAATCCTGAAAAAAATACATCACGGTTTCCACAAATGTATTAGGCAGTGCAACCGTTTTTAACATTAATAATTAGAGGTCGACCGATGTGTCGGTTTTGCCGATTAATCGGCACCGATAGTTGATTGCTGGAACTATCGGTTATCGTCAAAAATCCATGCCGATAGTTTTCCCGGGTTGCGTCCATTGCTGGAGCGGCTGGGAAGGGGCTGATGCTATTATACAGTGTGAGAGCGGCCTCTAGTGGTTGAAATCACTGACAGCACGTGCTATTTGTTTAGACACGTGATACTGCACGCTGAACAGAGCGGGAAACTTCAGATGTGGATTTAAATGCAGCCGACAGAAAATCCTGCCACGCCACAGAGCGCCATTCACATAGTTTTCCTTTAAATTACATTATATTGGTCCCGAATCGTTGTTAATGTACATAATGAATTGTGTATTGTGCATTTTCAGCAAAACGTTTGTCTTTCTGTGGCTCTAATAAAGTCTGTGTGCTTCATTTATAGAACTATAATATAGGTTGCGCTTTCTCTTTCCATTTGCTCCGCCGAACTTCAAACTCATCTATACCAATTTGTTCATTCTTGAAGTAAACTTGTGTCTGTTTGGTGATTTAAATAAACTGTTTTAGACCGCTGCTCGAGTTGAACGTGATGCATCCGGATTGTGTGTGATACCGGTGAGTTCTCCATAGACTCAGCGCAGCGCTTTTATTTTGATTAGATAATCATCAAGTGTTCAAGAATAGAAGCAGTTCAAGTCTGAGAGTATACATACAATATCCATATGTATATAATTTTAATGCTATAGCCTTTGTGTATATATTTAAAGATGTGCATCTTTAAGCATGACAGTTGAAATTAAATGGTAACACTTTAAAATAAGAGGCCATTTGTAGCATTAAGATTAATGAAAGCTGTGTAAGTATTGTTCCTTGTTAGAGTGTGTTAATTTCAACATATTTACTATGGTTCAGTACTGGTTTTGTTAATAAAGCACAATTTTAGTTTTTGTTCAGTATAGATTTTAAAAAAATCGGTTAATTAATCGGTATCGGCCAGTGTGGTCCAACCTAGCTATCGGTATCGGCAAAATCCACTATCGGTCGACCTCTATTAATAATAATAATAAGAAAGATGCTCTTATAATAGTGTAGTTGCCGAATCTATTAGCAGGGACTATGCTAACATAAAATTACTTTGGTGAACCTTTAATGCCTAGAGGTACTTAACTGTAAAATTCCCCACAAATGTGTGTGATGTATTAGTTGCATAGTACCTCCAAAACAATCATACTTGCACAAATAAGTAATAACCTGACAATCTCTGAAGATTCCCACCGCCAGGAATTAGTTTCATTAGTGTTACTCGAACATCTGCGGATCGTTAATTGATTCCATATAATTTTTATGATGGAGATCATCCCTAGTGGACAGTCCTCTGAGAGGTCAGAATAGCTGAATACTGAAGTCAAGGAAAAATGGACTTTGGATCTGAAACGCAAGACAATGAGAGGGTTTTAGGGAAGAATGAGACAGGGAGAGGATGGATAGACTCAACACCTGGCATGAGCGCACATTCCTGCGGTATGTCCCGGAAAAGGTGGTCTTGCACGATGAGTTCACACCCTTTGGCACGAGGACAAAAGAACAGAGACCGTATTCGGTTACACACTGCGAGTCATTTTTCCTCTGTCATTCACTGTCCCCATCTCAAAGGAATGTGCTGTCTGAAATACAGCTTAAAGGACGGTTCACCTAAAATTGAAGCTTCTGTCATCATTTACTCAGCCTCATGTCATTCCAAACCATGTCAAATGTGTGGGAACTTGCCTGTTAATCTTCCATTGTAAGTGATAGCTGTAATAATGTTGTCTCTTTGTAGGCCCTGCTGTCCTCTGAGCCCAAATCATCCAGCTGTGGACTCCTGAAGATGACCATGAGATCTCTGACAGCATTGGCTATGCCCTCTAATGATGCAGATACTGAGAGCAGCTCTGTGCCACAGGTGGACACACACACACGCTTCTTCTCTAAGAGGAAAATATGAGTAGAATCAGGCATGTTTAATGGGTCTTTGTTTTTGTGTACGTACAGGTCCACGCTCTGAACATCCTGAGGGCTTTGTATCGAGACACTCGTCTGGGGGAGAACATTGTGCCGTTTGTGTCCGATGGCATGCAAGCTGCTATCCTGGGTTTCACTTCTCCTGTGTGGGCCGTGAGTATACCCTTTTACTTATTTTTATACAATGTCTATGTAGGTTCCTTCAATAACAAAAAAAGTATGGCTTTTCAGACATGGCTGACCACAGAATATGTATCTCGAAGTACTATCATGCCATTTTATTAGATATAGTGGTAACACATTATAAAGGTACACATGATGTACAGTGTAATGAATTATATCTTTTTATAAATAATTCTAAAATGCATTATAATATTGGAAGGTTTGTTTATTACATGTTTTAAAGCATAATTTCTACAGGTGTAACGGTTAACAGATAAGTATTTTAATGCATTATAACTGTGATTATAATTATTATTAAGATCATACAATGCATTATAAGGTCCATTATAATGCATAATAAATGCACTAAAATAATCAAATAATAAAAATAATAAAAATTAATAAAAAATAAAATAATAAAAATACACACTCATTTGTTCACTGTTCCTCACGTACAGTACACCACCCTGTCAGGCCATAGCTGTTGCTGAGGCACTGACAGGTTAATAATTAAAGTGAATGAGAACACTAGGGACAGGAGCCGTACGTGCGGACACCCCCCCCCACACACAGCTGTGCGGTGGTCCTGGCCGATTGCCCTAGATTGCTCGCTTTGATCACCTCCACATGGGCGACTCGGCTCCTACAGGTCACGATGGCGACAACTCCAGGTCACATTCCCGTGCTCTCCTCCCTCATACCTGTCTGTCTGCTTTTACGTCTCTTTCATACATCTCTCCTCACTTCATTTTCTTATCAGTTCATTCCTTTTGAGTCCTTTCCCCCACCCCTCCCACTCGTTCCTTACTCTCAAGATGCTACTGAAGCCGTTTGCTTCTTTACTGCAGCGCTCCAGCCAGCAGGCTTTACTGTAGAGTACAGTAGGCCTAATCCTTCCCAGAATGCAGCAGTCAGTCAGTCACAGAGAACACACACAGTCTTCTTGTAGTCTGTGAGGAATGTTTCTTAAGCTGACCTAAAAATGTGATCAAAGTTATGAGGCAGTAACACTTCGAACATTAAGTTTGGTGTGTCCAGCATTACTTTAGCCACATAAGATTGTGATTTGAAGGCCTTTTACTGTTCCTGGAACAAGATGTCATCAGGCCCTGCAAATCCTGCATGACGTGGACTGTGTGACTCTTGTACACCCTTGAGCTCCAAGACCAATTTTTGCATTGTAATCGTCTCGAGGGCCATCATCATGTGCTCTGACTCACTACTCTCTCATGTTAAATCATATCTTTTTATTACATTTTCCCCCTGAGGTCTATTTAAAGAAATAATCCACCCAAAAATGAAAGTTTTTCCTCTTTGCTCACCCTAAGTTGCTCCAAACCTGTATGACTTCCTTTCTCCTGTGAAACATGAAGATATTTTGAAGAAAGTTGGAGCTCATTGACTTCCATTGTATGAACACAAAACGACACTGACACATTTTTCAAAATGTTTTTTTAATGTGCCACAGAAGAAGTGACATAACGTCGTACAGACATAAGTTTGAGTAAATATAATTTTTTTTTGTAACTATCCCTTTGAAGTGTTAGTACCAACAGTCACTATTTAGTTTTCATGAGCATTTTCTACTTTTCCCTAACATTAAGTCAAATTTTAAGTCATTTTTCATTGCTTTGTCTTTAAAGTTGCAGTCACATTTGCAGAATTTGGGTGAAATTTTACAGGCGTTGTCAATCCATTGTCTGCTGTCAATAGTGTTGCGATTACCCATTGCGAAATCTGCATGGGCAAATCTGGCTGTAGAAGTTGACATGTTGTTAATTCTATTTGCATATCAGTCTATAAGTGTATTGCTGGCCTACAGTTCACAGCATTCCATTTGCATTCAACATCATTTTCAGTCTGAACTTGACTCACAGAAAGCATTTTTTATATTTTCGTTTCAATCGTTTGCAATATTTGTTTTAATTGTCTGTCTGTGTGCACAGCATACTGATGTTTGGAGTAGCCACAAGCACCACATTTTTAAGATTTGAAATGAAGTTGACCTCTTTAATGTAATAGTGTGCGTCAAAGCTCAAATTATTAATGTACATGGAGGGAAGGTTTGCTCTGATGTCAGTCTCTCCATCCTGTCCTCTTTCTAGGTGAGGAACTCCTCGACTCTCCTGTTCAGCACTCTGATCACGCGGATATTTGGGGTAAAGAAGGGAAAAGATGAGCACTCCAAAAAGAACAGGTGTGACTTCAGTTGTTTTATGTACCACTCCCAACTGCACTGTAAAAAAAAAAAAAAAACAGTAGTTGAGAACACTTTGAGAAGACTTAAAGCAACCAGTTTCATGACTTTTTATTTTTTATTTTTACTTTGAATTTAACTTCATTTTTAATTCCAGCTCAACTTACAGAAGAATTACCAGTCAACTTAAAGTCGGTCTGTGCTTTCAGCAAACATAATAAAACAAGTTTTATAAACTTTATTAACTTGTGAATCCAAGTTTAATAAGATATTAATATTACACATTATTAAGGTAAAACACTCTTATTTTGGCAGACCTTTCCACTAAACAATTAAAGGTTGCTTAATATGTGTATGAGTTAGTTGCACAAAAGGTCATATACAGTGGTGTGAAAAAGTGTTGGCCCCCTTCCTGATTTCTTATTTTTTTGAATGTTTGTCATACTTTAATGTTTCAGATCATCAAACAAATTTAAATATTAGTCAAAGATAACACAAGTAAACACAACATGCAGTTTTTAAGTTCAATTTCTCTAGCCACACCCAGGCCTGATTACTGCCACACCTGTTCGCAATCAAGAAATCTCTTAAATAGGACCTGCCTGACAAAGTGAAGTAGACTAAAAGATCCTCAAAAGCTAGACAGCATGCCGAGATCCAAAGAAATTCAGAAACAAATGAGAAAGAAAGTAATTGAGATCTATCAGTCTGGAAAAGGTTATAAAGCCATTTCTAAAGCTTTGGGACTCCAGCGAACCACAGTGAGAGCCATTATTCACAAATGGCAAAAACATGGAACAGTGGAGAACCTTCCCAGGAGTGGCCGGCCGACCAAAATTACCCCAAGAGCACAGCGACGACTCATCCAAGAGGTCACAAAAGACCCCACAACAACATCCAAACAACTGCAGGCCTCACTTGCCTCAGTTAAGGTCAGTGTTCATGACTCCACCATAAGAAAGAGACCGGGGCAAAAATGGTCTGCATGGCAGAGTTCAAAGACGAAAACCGCTCCTGAGCAAAAAGAACAAAGGCTCGTCTCAGTTTTGCCAGAAAACATCTTGATGATCCCCAAGAATTTTGGGAAAATACTCTGTGGACTGACGAGACAAAAGTTGAACTTTTTGGAAGGTGTGGGTCCCAATTACGTCTGGCATAAAAATAACACTGCATTTCAGAAAAAGAACATCATACCAACAGTAAAATATGGTGGTGGTAGTGTGATGGTCTGAGGCTGTTTTGCTGCTTCAGGACCTGGAAGACTTGCTGTGATAAATGGAACCATGAATTCTGCTGTTTACCAAAAAATCCTGAAGGAGAATGTCCGGCCATCTGTTCGTGACCTCAAGCTGAAGCGAACTTGGGTTCTGCAGCAGGACAATGATCCAAAACACACCAGCAAGTCCACCTCTGAATGGCTGAAGAAAAACAAAATGAAGACTTTGGAGTGGCCAAGTCAAAGTCCTGTCCTGAATCCTATTGAGATGATGTGGCATGACCTTAAAAAGGCGGTTCATGCTCGAAAACCCTCCAATGTGGCTGAATTACAACAATTCTGCAGAGATGAGTGGACCAAAATTCCTCCACAGCGCTGTAACAGACTCATTGCAAGTTATCGCAAACGCTTGATTGCAGTTGTTGCTGCTAAGGGTGGCCCAACCAGTTATTAGGTTTAGGGGGCAAACACTTTTTCACACAGGGCCATGTAGTTTTGGATTTTGTTTGTCAAAGTCCTAACCTGAATCCTATTGAGATGCTGTGGCATGACCTTAAAAAGGCGGTTCATGCTCGAAAACCCTCCAATGTGGCTGAATTACAACAATTCTGCATAGAGTGGACCAAAATTCCTCCACAGCGCTGTAACAGACTCATTAAAAGTTATCACAAACGCTTGATTGCAGTTGTTGCTGCTAAGGGTGGCCCAACCAGTTATTAGGTTTAGGGGGCAAACACTTCTTCACTCAGGGCCATGTAGTTTTGGATTTTGTTTTCCCTTAATAATAAAAACCTTCATTTAAAAACTGCATGTTGTTCACTTGTGTTATCTTTTACTAATATTTAAATTAGTTTGATGATCTGAAAGTGTGACAGACATGCAAAAAAATAAGAAATCAGGAAGGGGGCCAACACTTTTTCACACCACTGTAGAGTTGTTTCTATGCACCAAAATAACTTTATAAAATTGCTCTTTAAAATTAAAGAAACTTCTCCAAAGCGACAACTACTTACCCCCATAATGAAACAATACATGACTTTTTAAACAGTACTTATTAAAAACACTAAACAGGTCAGCACCGATAGCCTTGTATGTGCCTCTATACTGTCCTATAGTAATAAAAGGCAAAAATGCAAAAAAAAGAAAAAACTCTCTAAACTAGGGCTGGGCGATATAGCTAAAAAATGTGTCAATGATATAATGTTTCATATCGTTCGGTATCGATAATTATTGACATTTGTTATAACCTTTTTTAAAATAAAGAGCAATAGAATTTTTTTTTTTTTAATTTAACCACTGTATTTTTAAATTAACCCAATTTATTGAGACAAACTACAAATATTTTTTGTTTTAACATTCAAACACACAATAAAAATTAAACTAATATCTAATTTCTAATGTTTTATATGCAGATTAAATAGGTCTAAAGAAAACTTTTGGCTTGTCTCCTGAGGCCACAGGAGGGTGCAATGAGCAAAATAATGCAGCATATTTAAATTGCCAACGCAAGGAACTAACGGTTGTAACGTTTGTAGGTCGGGAAGGAGGAGGCGGGAACCGGCGAACACTCATTTTTTTTTTTTTAATTTAACCACTGTATTTTTAAATTAACCCAATTTATTGAGACAAACTACAAATATTTTTTGTTTTAACATTCAAACACACAATAAAAATTAAACTAATATCTAATTTCTAATGTTTTATATGCAGATTAAATAGGTCTAAAGAAAACTTTTGGCTTGTCTCCTGAGGCCACAGGAGGGTGCAATGAGCAAAATAATGCAGCATATTTAAATTGCCAACGCAAGGAACTAACGGTTGTAACGTTTGTAGGTCGGGAAGGAGGAGGCGGGAACCGGCGAACACTCAAAGAAAACTTTAATAATAAAATAAACACCAAATAGCGCGACTGCCACGCACAAACGAAACCAAAACACAAAATAAAGTCCAGGCCTGGTCCTCTCTCGTCTTTCCCTGTCGTCACTCCTCCTTTGTATCCTTCCGGAGCTCCTCCGTGAGACTCGAGACCGGTGAGTGGTGCAGGTGTCGCTCATTATCAATTACTCCACCGGCCTCGCTCCGTTCCCACGGCTCTCGGCCCCGCCCCTCTCGTCACAACGGTCTATAAAAAAAATGTGCATTACTTCTAAATTTACTCATATAAATCAAATATAATTTCATAAATTGCATAAACAATTATGAACAAAACAGCATCATGTATTTATGCATTGCGTAATACAAAGAGCCAAATCGCCCATCACACAGATTGCATTTAAAAACATATGAGATGCAGTGAAAAGGAATTAACCTCCACTAATTCGCAATGTGTTTTCTAAAAGTTTGAACTGTTTTAACTTTGCATGGCTACATCTCTTGTGTGAGACGCGAGTGCAGCAGTCATATTTGTCCGTCTAAAAAATGCGCATGCATCTGTGTGAATGGCTTGGTTTCGGTTTTAACCTAATCAAGATCTTCTCCGCATTGAGCTAATATATTTCTCTAATATTTTGAAAGAATAACACCGCAGCGGCGCGTCTCGTGGGCTAGACTAACAAAACATTAAAATACAACAACGTCACTTTACATCATTATCACCGCATCTCGCGCGCCACTGATGACGCTCCCTGACGCACTCCTAACATTCAAATGCAAATGTTTATTTTAAATTCGACTAATAGTCACTTTTTTTACTCACAATCTCCTCATCACAGGCAGGCACAGCACTCATGTTCGTGTTTGTGTTTGCTGTCTGCGTCACTCATAGCACGTGCCTATATCGTGTGCTATATCGAACATTTTTGTATATCGTTATCGAAGAAGGTGTACCGTCGATAAATATCGATACCGTTTTATCACCCAGGCCTACACTAAACATAGCTAAAACTAAACAAAGCCCATTTTAAATGGCAAATAATTGCATGTGCTCATAAGTCCCCATGCTTTAACCAAAAACAAAAATTATTCAAGTGCAAGGGATTATGGGTGATCGGTGATCAAACTCAGCATGGTAGTTTGACTAAAGTTGACATTGTAAGTTCTTGCTGTTAAATATTTTTAGTTGCTCATAGTAAATGTCATAAAAGTTGACTTTAATATTTTATGTAGTGTCAACTTTTTCTACAGTCTGTCAACTATCAAAATAGAGTTTTCTGACAGAATGGAAGTTGCAATTCTTACAGTGTACTTGTCCTGTCATCCGTGACTCAATGCCTTCACTGTGTAAAAATACTACCAAAATGCTATTGCAACCCATGATACTAATGTCATTTAATATGTTTGCAAATAAGACGGAACTTGATGTTATTCATTGGGAGTTGGAAGAAAGTGGCTGTAACATTGCAAAATGGAGCCAGGTGGTTTGAGAGAAAAGGTTGAGAAGAGACATTTGTGATATCTGATAACTGAAAAGGAAAGGCATTACAGATGCAAAGCAAGTGTTCCAGACTTGATGCAAGCATTCCGTTAGAATGCATCGTTTCGATGCAAGGCTTGCCACAGCTCACTTAATGTGAATAGATCTTGAGGTGAGTCCTGTGTGATCCTGCTCTGTCAGGGGTTGTTCACTAGGGGGCACTGAAGTTCTGTACTTTTTCTCCTTCCAGTCCTCTATTCCAGTCATTAATCTCTGTCGTATGTTGGCCTACAGCGCATGGACACCTTCCAGCCCCTTAAATGTTCTGGATGTTCCTCCTAACTTCCTGATAGCCTTTGTTTGTTTGTGTTCTGTTTCTATCCTCATCCCACGTTTATGGGATGTCTCGCAAAGACTCTTTTGTTCGTGGTTTCAACTCTTCCCTTGTACTGATCAAAACTCTTGACAGGCATTGGAGCTGACGCACAGGGGTTAACGCACTTCAACGTGTGTTTATCTTTTCCGTAGTAGAGGGAATGCTAACAACATCTTGCCCAAGCACGCACAAACGTTGACACAATTCTTGCACACATTCACACCCTCTCCATTGCTGCCCGGTTGACCGTGACCTCTGATCCCTGGCCACCGCAGGATGGGGCGGGTGGGCCGTGATGGGACCTCCTGCTGCGGCGACGACTGCTCTGCGTCAGCTCCCTAATCCCATCCAAACCAGTGGAGCGCGAGCTGTTGCAAGAATGTCCTGATGCATTCTGGGATTCAATGCAGAGAGGTCACGGATGGAGTGAGGAATGACTAAGCAGGAGTGGCACTGACCTAGTTGAAAAACAATAATGGCTCACTCCTGAGATCATCGTTTGTTATGATTAATCGGTGTGCTGATTGGACTTAATTGGAGAATCAAGCGGGCCGTAATGACACAAGCCAGTGTGTTGGACTACCTCACACTTCAAAGAGCCCATGTGCTCCCAGGTCAGCTGACCGTGGCATTACCCTAGGATTTTCTAAAGAGATGCTGAATATTTAGAGGTCACTGAAACTCCGTATAATCGCAATGAAATAAGGCTGGCTCTTCGGTCTGGATGTATTCCCCATAGTCAGGACCGTTTACTTTCTGGATAACCCTGCCGCCAGCTTGTCCGACATCTCAATGTGTTTGTCTTTTAGTTTTATGTGTTTGTATGGCAAGCATCTTCATCCTGCGGGTCACTCGGCTATTGCTTATTGTTGTTTTTCTCTTCCTGTGTGCAAGTGTTTTTGTGAGTCTTGTGATTTGTGTGCTGACATGTACTTGTCAAACATTTTGACAGGCCGTTCTCTGTTATGACATTTTGGGTCTTTTTGTTTACGATCTGTGTGTACTGTGGCTATGTTCTGTATAGCATACTATCTCACTATTTCTGCAGCATAGAATGTGTGTACTGTGCACAGTATGCAAATTTTCTTTTTGCACGGAAGACTGACTGCATTCTCCAAAAATCCACCCATCTCACATACGTCTGCGCTATTCTTTGCTATGTATTCACATGCTTTTAAAAAGAAAATTGATATTGTACATTTCTAAATGTCAGAGTACATAGTTAAGTGTAAGGCTCTAAAACTACCATTCAAAAGTTTGAAGTTTATTTGATCAGAAATACAGTAAAAACAGTAATATTGTGAAAAATGTATTTAAAATAACTTCTCAACTGTCTATTTGAATATATTTTAAAATGTAATTTATTCCTGTGATGCAAAGCTGAATTTTCAGCATCATAACTCCAGTCTTCAGTATCACATGATCCTTCAGAAATCATTCTAACATGCTGATTTCTTATTATTATATGCTTAGTATTTTTGTGGAAATACTTTTTTTAGTTTAGAAGAACAACATTTATTTAAAGATTTTTGTTGCAAAGTAAAATTCTTCAGTCACTTTTGATCATTTTAATGCATACTTTCTGAATAAAAATATCAATTTATGAATTGATAAAAATGAATTACACCAAATTTTTGAACAGTAGTGTAATTTGGGACACATTTGCTTTAAACATACAACAATTCGCAAGAAAACACTGTCAGTCTATCTATCTCAAAATTTCATGTTTGTTTCTTTGAAATAATTTTCACTCAAAAATTGCTAGCAATTTTCGCAAATAATTAAAATGTAAATCATGTGCCACTTTTTTGTTTGTGTGTGTACCTAAAACAAGAGAGTTGTATAATCTTTAATTTGTTTATCAAACTTTGTTTCTTTGAAATAATTTTCACTCAAAAATTGCTAGCAATTTTCGCAAATAATTAAAATGTAAATCATGCGCCACTTTTTTGTTTGTGTGTGTACCTAAAACAAGAGAGTTGTATAATCTTTAATTTGTTTATCTAACACATTTGTTTATCAAATTTGAGTTTTAGTAGCTGTGCTCTTCCGAATTCATTAATGTAAGTGGGGTTTGTTTGTGTTTCTTGGATTGGATTGCTTTTCAAACATGTTTTACATTTAGATTTGTTGTTTTGCGCAACTATAAAAAATGAATTGATCTGCTTCTTGCCATTAAAACAATGATTACGGTCAAAACAAAGCACTCAGAGTAATGTTTTCGTTGGTCTATTTGGACTAGATCAAAGTAGTCAAATCAGAGTTTGAAAAACGAATGATACACATCTTAGTTAAACACTGAAACAAAACGAAAGTCTTTAAACCATTGTATAAAACATATTTTGACAAGTAATTACTTCAGTTGCACTCAAGTTTATAAACAAGGCTAGCATCTGATACCATCTTCTGGCTTAGGTAATTTCGTTTGGACTCTTTAAACATGTGCCTTTTTTTATAGTAACTTGTTTGACTGTTTTCCTCCGCAAAGAAGATACTTTTGTTAGTTTGTGTTTGCTTGGTCTTATCAGAATATGATCAGAGAGTTTGCTTGGTCCCGAGACTTTTATTGGCTGACCTCGCTCATCTAGTGCACAATACAAAAAATAAAAACAACAAAAAAAAGTTTGTTTCATGATCTAAATGTTATTTACAGTACATAAACAAATTAGCTGAAGAAATACTGTAGTGTAGTGTGTGTGGTCAGCGTTTGTGGTTATGATGGCCCTATGCAACACACTCAAGCGCATTACACATAATATGCAAATTTATATCGGTTTAAATTCATTTGTGAACGTAAGTAATGACAAACGAGCGGTTAAAGATGGTTTAAGCTCGACAGGCATTTATTGGACATCTTGGAAGTGTTTTGCCTGGAAGACTCTAATCCATACTGAAGGTATGCAGGGTTGTGTTGAGCTTAACCGTAACCACATTTGCCCACATCAGAGCTTATGTGTGTGTGTGTGTGTGTGTTGCTAGCATGCAGCATGTGGCCATGTTGCAGACATAGCTGACCCACCTTGTTACCATGTCAGCGCCCTGGCCTAAGTTCAGACCAGACTGTGTGCATTAGCGGTTGAAACAGGATGTGGTGTGTTTGTGTATGTGTGTATTTCACATGGCTGAAGTCACAACATGTGTGTTTGAAACATTGGCTCTTGAGCTAAAGTTAGCCCTGTATGGGCTGTTTCAGTTAGACATGAAGACAAAAAAAAAGTTTTATTAGATGGTCTATCTTAAACACAGAGGCTTAGCTAAATAAAGATACATTTATGTGTGTCACACATGCATACACTTTCACTGTCTGTCTTAACACATATGCATTTGTCTCGAGTGAAATTCCCAGGGTTTATTCCAGCCGCGCTGCTTTCTAAGGAATAAACAAGCAGGGAGCCGCGTGTCCCTGCAGCTCTCCATCAGAAGCTGCGCTAATCAGAGCTTTATAGAGCTGTAAAGAGAGCAGACTTTAGGAAGTGGTTTACAAACCAGACTTTTAAAGTTGCAGTCTCTTTCTCTCCTCTCCTTGTGTCACTTAGGCTCTGTTCCAAAATCTTGTGAGCTGCCTACGTAGGCAGCACGTTCCTGACACAAAGGGTGTTTCCAAAAAGAAAGACCTTTTGGCAGAATTGCACGTATCCCAATCCCATAATGCACTGTGATGTGAAATGACAATTACAGTATTTTTACCTTATAAAGCCTGATATGCAGTAGGTCAGAAAATTCACATTTTTGACTGAAACCTCAGTGCATTATTCTTGATAACTATATTTATTTATACCAGACATTTTATAACACACCTCTGCATCACTGTCTGTCTTAACACATATGCATTTGTCTCGAGTGAAATTCCCAGGGTTTATTCCAGCCGCGCTGCTTTCTAAGGAATAAACAAGCAGGGAGCCGCGTGTCCCTGCAGCTCTCCATCAGAAGCTGCGCTAATCAGAGCTTTATAGAGCTGTAAAGAGAGCAGACTTTAGGAAGTGGTTTACAAACCAGACTTTTAAAGTTGCAGTCTCTTTCTCTCCTCTCCTTGTGTCACTTAGGCTCTGTTCCAAAATCTTGTGAGCTGCCTACGTAGGCAGCACGTTCCTGACACAAAGGGTGTTTCCAAAAAGAAAGACCTTCTTTTGGCAGAATTGCACGTATCCCAATCCCATAATGCACTGTGATGTGAAATGACAATTACAGTATTTTTACCCTATAAAGCCTGATATGCAGTAGGTCAGAAAATTCACATTTTTGACTGAAACCTCAGTGCATTATTCTTGATAACTATATTTATTTATACCAGACATTTTATAACACACCTCTGCGTGGCTTGAGCGTCTTTTATCTTATTTTCACAAAGGTTTTACTTTTCTACTGTACAATGATGGTTCTGAATGTGCTGCGAGTCTACTTGGTTTAGTAGGCAATGCAGCATTGATTGAAAGATAAACCGCACATCCTTATTTCACTGTTGTTGTTTGCATTGTGGTTAGGCAGACAGTTTGCTACTCTCATTCAGTTTAACGGCATTAACAACGGGTCAAAGAGGGCAAGCTTTCGACTGAACTGCACACATGCATTTTAAAAATCTTCATCATGCTCTTGCTCCGTCTATGCAATAAATGCACATTTTTGGAGGAGCAGGTTTTTCTAGCATATTTCAGGGTGGCCAAAATTACACTTGTAAATCAATAAGGGCTACAATTAAATATGAGGATACATATTCATGAAGATGCATGTTAAACCCATATTCGCACCCTTATAGCATGCAAACATTTCTGCTCTTTATTATTCATGTGATTCAGACTGAAGCCACCATTCGGGTGTAATAACAGACCTTTGTTTTCAGCTAAAAAAACAAACAAAAAAATACAGAGCTGTTAAACACCATAAACTAAGAATAGGCACTCTAGTCTGCAAAATACTGTTAAGTTTATTTTATCAGCCAAACAGAAAAACTGGTTAATTAATGTCAGATTAATGTCATTCATTCATCATTTCTTTTCTGATCTAATCTGCAATCCTAAACATACTTTAACCTTAATTTCTCTCACTTTTCTCTTAACAGAATGACCGGCCGAGAGTTTTTCACTCGTTTTCCTGCCCTCTATCCCTTCCTCCTCAGTCAGCTACAGGAAGCTGCAGCCTCTGTGAACAGGTGAGAATTTCCCAACAAAAGGCCCCCATAACATCACAGGGACCCCGCAATGTGTGTGCTATTTGCGTCGGATGTTGTTGAAGAGCTGACCGATCCCAGCGTTCGCTAAACGGACCCAGTTCTTCTTCTCACCCTTCTTTAATTTCTCAGAGGCCCTTATTTAAGATCGTTTAAGGCCTCTGTGAACAGGTGAGAATTTCCCAACAAAAGGCCCCCATAACATCACAGGGACCCCGCAATGTGTGTGCGATTTGCGTCGGATGTTGTTGAAGAGCTGACCGATCCCAGCGTTCGCTAAACGGACCCAGTTCTTCTTCTCACCCTTCTTTAATTTCTCAGAGGCCCTTATTTAAGATCGTTTAAATGCCCCATCAAGCCTCTTTAGACCTATTAAGCATTTTGACCGCACTGATGGACAGATTCCTAGCTGAGATGCCTCAGATAAGTAAACCGCTTGTGGGAGTTTCGGCCGTGTTGGATCCAGTCCTCGCTTAACTCTCTCACTCGCTAAGCAGTCTCTTAACTCCCTCAAATAATTTCTCCACAGACTGATGCGCCACTCTTCCAAATAGCATTTGCGTTGTGCAAGAGGCCCTTGAGCCAATATTATCTTAATATGTATCAAATTATTTTGATACGTTTTCAGTCTGGCATTCTCTCCTTTTAGCTAAGAGTGGTCTGACTCTTTCCCACGGCCTAGTCTTTGCATCCTGCTTGCCAAGCTAGGCTCTGCAGCACTCGTATTTTATACCACCTATAAATTATTTAGCATATAAATAAGGGTAGAGAGAAGTGCGAAGAGGTTTGCACCACCCACCTTTACCAAATATGAAAAGAGCATCATGGGATGTCTAGGGGGGAGTTCGCCATTTAGTGTGATTGAGATGTTTTTCCTATTGAAGTTCGATCCAGAATGTTTCTTTTATCTGGAAAGCAGGCTGTAAAAAGCATGTGGGAACGCTAGAATACGGTTCATCGCCCTCCTCGCAATTTGTAAACCGGTTTGCGATATGAAGATTTCACGAGCACGGATGAAATCGTGATGAATGATTTGCCTCAGCGTGAGGGGTTTATAACAATTTTAAACGTTTAACATGGGAAATGAGTGCCGAGAGAGGGTTCGGTTGGACATGCACCAGAGATGAAATGAGATGAAAAGACCGGGGCAAGTGGAGCCAAGACTGAAACTCGCTTTGCTAATCTCACGTTCTCTTCCAGGCTTATCACCTCTTCACCCTCGCTGAACTTTTTCGCTCATTTTAACGTCTTTTTCCATTCCTCAGATTTGTCATATTTCATTGGTTCGTTCTCGCACTTCCCTTCCAGCTTTTTCTTGAATGTGCATGATGTTTAACACTTTAATCTCCCTGGGCTTGGTGATGATCTCAAGTTCTTGGCTGTCCCACACTGTGCCTGACTGAAATCAGACTCTAAACGCATTACCCGGGCCCTGATTAGCAAAATAGCATTTCCTGTGCTCTGGCCCGGGGTCTACAGGCTCATGGGACCCCTTGGTGGTGGGGAGTTTGGCCATGTTTGATGTAATAATGACAAGCGTATCCATAGCTGGCAGCTGTGCCGTGGAAAGCGCATGGCCTTTAGAGAACAGAACAGGTTTTGGCCCTTTCACAGTAATAGAAAGATATGAGTAATTTACATTTTGTGTGTTTTTCTGTCTGTTTTTTTTTTTTTCATGTGTTTGCTCTGGCTTATGTCTTGAGTTTCCACTGGACTGTCAGAGAAACATGTGCAGAAATGTAGTAAAAGCGAAAGGAAGTGAAGGGCCATTGGGTTAGTAATGGTGACCATGTGTACATGTGCTCATCTTGTCATTGAAACTCTTAGTAGCTGTATATGTTTGTAATGTCTGGTTGCTAATTCTGAAACCTCAGCTAAAACGTCAGTTATAATATACAGGTAAGATACATTATGTATGTTAGTAAGTGCAGTTTAGTAAATGCTAGTTTAGTAATTCGAGAAGTCACATACGGGTAAGTTGGTTAGGTTAGTACTGTTGTACGTCAGTAAGTGAAGGGTGTTTAATTATTGAAGAAGTTATGAAATCACATATAGATGAGTTAGATTAGTTCAGTTAGTAACTTATATTTGTATATGGAGAAAGCCATGTTAAGCTATACTAGTTAAATAAGTTAGTTGGAGAAGTTATGAAGTCACATATAGGTAAATGAGGTTAATTCAGTTATTTATGTATGTTAGTATGTGAAGAAAGTTATGCTAGTTAAGTTGGACAAATGAAGAAGTCACACAGGTTTGTTCAGGTAGTTACATTAGTAAGTGGAGGAAGCTATGCTAGTAAAATAAGATAATTTTTAAAGTCACATACAGGTAAGTTAGGTTAATTCGATTAGTTATGTATATTAGTAAGTGATGGAAGTTACGCAAGTTAAGTTAGACAAATGATAAAGTTACACAGGTTAGTTCAGTTAGTAAGTGGATGAAGCTATGCTAGTAAAATAAGTAAGATCATTTATAAAGTCACATTCAGGTAAGTTAGTTGGGTTAGTTAATTTTGGTATATATGTTAGTAAGTGAAAGACGTTATCCCAGTTTAGTAATTAGAGAAGTTATGAAAACACATCTAGATAAGTTGGGTTAGTTCCATTAGTTCCATTGGTATGTAGATGAAGTTATGTTAGCTAACTGTATTATACAAGTTAAGTAAGTCAGTAAGTGATGGAAGTTACGCAAGTTAAGTTAGACAAATGATAAAGTTACACAGGTTAGTTCAGTTAGTAAGTGGATGAAGCTATGCTAGTAAAATAAGTAAGATCATTTATAAAGTCACATTCAGGTAAGTTAGTTGGGTTAGTTAATTTTGGTATATATGTTAGTAAGTGAAAGACGTTATCCCAGTTTAGTAATTAGAGAAGTTATGAAAACACATCTAGATAAGTTGGGTTAGTTCCATTAGTTACATTGGTATGTAGATGAAGTTATGTTAGCTAACTGTATTATACAAGTTAAATAAGTTAAAGACGTTATGACGTCACTAACAGGTGAGTTGGTTAGGTTAGTACTGTTGAATGTCAGTAAGTGAAGGACGTTTAATCATTAAAGAAGTTACAAAATCACATATAGATGAGTTAAATTAGTTCAGTTAGTAACTTATATTTGAATCTGGAGAAAGTTGTGCTTTTAAAGTAAGCTATACTTAAATAAGTCAGTTGGAGAAGTTATGAAGTCACATATAGGTAAGTTAGGTTAATTGAGTTATTTATATATGTTAGTACGTGAAGGAAGGTATGCTAGTTACATTAGAAAAGTTCTGAAGTCACATTCAGGTAAGTTAGGGTAATTGTGTTAGTTCTGTATGTTAGTAAGTGATGGAAGTTACGCAAATTAATTTAGACAAATGATAGTCATGCAGGTTAGTTCAGTTAGTTACATCAGTTAGAGGAGGAAGCTATGCTAGTAAAATAAGTAAGAGAAGTTATAAAGTCATTCAAGTTAGTTGGGTTAGTTAATTTTGTTATATATGTTAGTGAAGAAAGTTTTGCCAATTTAGTAATTAGAGAAGTTATGAAAACACATCTAGACAAGTTAGTTTTGGGTTAGTTACATTAGTATGTAGAGGAAGTTATGTTAGCTAAATGTGTTATACAAGTGAAGTAAGTTAAGAAGTTAAGTCACATACATATGGCTTATTTCTGTTAGTTATGTGTGTTAGTAAGAGAAGGAAGCTATGGTAGTTTAGTAATTAGAGAAGTTAGGAACTCACGTGTAGGTACTGTAAGCCAGGTTAGTTCAGTTAGTTTCTTACGTTAACTCCAACTAGAATAACTTCCTCCACTTACTAGAGACATTTATGGAGCCACATACATGTAAGTTAGTTCAGTTAGTAATATACAGTAGGTTAGTGAGTGAATGAAGCTTTGCTAGTTTAAGGAAGTTATGTTCTGTTAGCAAAGCAAACCGTTTTTTGTGTTATCCATGTTAGTAGCTTAAGTTTTGTTATTTTAGTAGTTCACCTTAGTTGGTTACATTATTACATAAGTTAAGGAAGTTAACTTGTTAGTTAAGGTAGTTACATAAGTCACGTATTTTAGGTAAGGAAATGTAACATATTTCCCTTTCTCTCTTTCAGTGATTCAGGGCAGGTGAAGCTGCATCCCAGTCTTTTCTTGTTGCTGTTGGTTTTGGGTCGTCTCTACCCGTCTCCTATGGATGGTTCATCATCTCCTCTGGGATTAGCTCCCTTTATGCCCTTAATCATCAGGTAGGTATAGACATTTAGATCGCCTTTAAGTGCAGTGCTGACCAAAAGATGAGCTTCACTGAATGTTTTAGCTCTAAAATCATTTAGATTTTATTCAGCTGACTATTTCTCAGCCCTTTAGTCTCACAGGCCACTCCCTTTGCATGTCTTTCTATCCGTCAACTCAGCGCATCCATTCCTGCAATAGATTTTTTCCACTGCCTCCACATTTTTTCCTCTTTTACAATTTGTAATGCTTGAGACATGCAGCTACTGTTGCTGTTCCTGTTTACACATTTTTTTCATTGTTTAGACAGTGGAGAAACAATATTTTTGGAACACATTCTACAAGTACCTGGAGAGGCATCCAAACATAGACATGTGTCTCACACACACACACACACACACAGAGTGAAGGATAGGTCACGGTTGTGATCCCAGAGCCAGGAGTAATCCTTTCCGCTCCCGTTTGTGTGTCACAGAACACCGTGTTCCTCCAGCTGGGGAGCAATAGATCTGTTCGGATGAAAGAAACGATAGCAGGATGGTGTTTGTTTTGGAATCAAAATAAGGGTGGAGAAGTCTTGCTCCCCCTGCTGCTTCTGATACCACAGCTCCTGACTTTGCATGCTACACTCATGACTGACACTAGTGCTGTGTTCAAGATATCGATACGACGATGTATCGTCACAGAGATTTGACGATACGAGTATCGATACAGCTGGCCCTGTATCGATACCGTGGCACGTGTGCAGCAGTGGACCACGCTTAATTTTACAACGTTTAAAATTTAGTAGAAAAGTGCGAGGTTTCTAAAAAAGAATGAATAGAGCATCTGTTAATAATCTGGCCACAGACTAACACAACTGGGTTGCCTGATATAAAGAGACGTAATCCCCAAAACAGAGCTTTACACTTGCGCAATACTAAAATATCTGCTAAACGTGCTACTTATCTTTGTCAACCTGGCAACCATGTGTACGCGCGGTCTCTCTCCACTGTGGATAAACGTGCTTGCTTTCTGAAAACAGCGGTTAGCTTGCAGTTTAGCTATCTCCACTTCAAGTTTTTTCTCAGAAAAGTGTGATTCATCGGCTGTTCATTTACGACAAAACCAAACGCAAGATTAAAAAAAAGCCACTGCTTTACTGAAAAATTACACTGCATTTTTAAGGGCCTCTTTTTGCGTTTATGATGGTCTGGATTTTTGTTGTTGTTGTTGTTCTACACACCTCGTTTCAGACTTTTTTGAAGGTGCAATGAGTTTTTGGTTTCTTTTCTAAAAAGTAGGCAGTTTGTTTCTCTCACTTTCCTTCCAAGATGGCCGACGAGTCAAAAAGATTGTAATTTATAAATAGTTGCAATTCCTTCAATAACAGGATTTGTTTATAAAATAGTTCATAGACAGTCATAAAAATGGACGTTGTACCTAATTTGTGTATTTTTAAGAAAATGTGAGTATTTTGCTGTTAGCTTAGCAACATGCTAATGCGATACTCTCTTTAAAACAATTGTGATTCAAGTCCCATGGGTTACTGCCTATGTAGTGTGTTCCAGTTAGGATGCCTTATAGTAGATAGTAGACAGCAAGGCTACTGTGGAATGGATGTTTTTTTGTTTTTTTTTAAATAAGAGCATGACCTTTTACATAGACTAGATCCATTCCGAATCTATTAATAAAAATGATGCTACATAAATGGGTCGTTCATAAATGGTCCTGCATGAGCACATTAACTTGTGGTCACCACGTTTACAAATCAACACCTGCTTAATGTTCAACAGCTTGTTCTTACTCTAATTCACATGCAAAGTGTTTACCGTATCAAAACACAGAGGGGTCTTTCAGTACTTCCTGTCAAAAATGTTGACCATTAAGTGTGAATTCATGATTATCCTCGCCATCTGCCGTTTAGATTGATGTGATAGGAAAGTTGTTGTAAGCTTAGTCTTGATTTGCACTGTTATGAAGAAGAACATCTAGTGGAAGAGAACTTCTGTTGAAACTGATGGTCCTGATAGTGACCCACTTCAGAGCAGAACGGTGAGCTCAGCACGTTAGATAACACTCACATGAGCATGTTGAGTACAGATGTGTGAATGTGCACAACTGTTGCTGTCTTTCGCTTTGGTGACCAAAAGCCTTGGACTCTCAGCAGTTTCCCTTCCGTGACATTATTTTCACTAATGTTTTATGCCAGGAATGTTCTATCCGTGTGCTCTCGCTCACACACACTCCGAGGATGGTGTTTGGGCTTCTGCAATAACTGTCTTTAGCATTCTTTTTCTTTTAGCACGGAGTGTGTGTGTGTGTGTGTTTAGTCATCTGTATTTTTGTGGGTGTATTTGAACTAGTGAGAAAGTATGTGTGTTAGTTAAAACTTGTTTGGTTTTTGTGGCTTGTGTGTGAATTAAGCTGTTGTGGCCTGTTTTCTACATGGAAAATATTAGAGCTGTTATTAAATTCTTGGTTTAATGAGTAGTGATTTTAAAGTGATCTTTATTCCTTGATAAGGAATCAAAATAATAAGTATAATTAATTGACATAGATGATGTATATATGGATGGATATATGCATAAAAAAATGGTTTTATTGTATATACCTTTGTAAGAGCTTCCTTTCTATAAATAAGTAAAAATTTCCTCCAGATTTTATGGACTGTTAATATAATTTATGATATTTTACAAATATTTCTTCAGGTCACTGACATGTAAGAGTATCAATAAACAAAAGCAAATCTTAAATGTGTAGTTTCATATGGTTAAAAAAAAATTAATGCCATTTTCAACCAAAATTTTATTTCATGTATGTAGTGTAAAAATGTAATGTGGTGTAACCTTCAGATAAAAAAAGGTAATAACATTTTTTTATTTTAATTTAAGTTATGTTTTCCTTAGTTTTCAAAGTAAAATCAATTTTACAAATCTTGAATTGTTAATTCATAGATATCATTAATCACATGACTGTTGATTGTACCACATGACCTTGACTAAATATTTTTAAAATGATATTTAACTGCTGTATCAGTTTTGATAATGATAAAAGATTTAACTAAACAGTTTTTTTCAAGAATTGTACAATTTTAATACGATTTTATGATATCAGGACACTTGCAACACCCAGATATTTATGACCTTATGGCTTTAACACTGTTAAACATATATTTAATTGCATTTTGAAAGCCCTGGATCATTGTTTGGGTGTCAGGGCCTGTATAGTATCATAATTGTGTTATGAGCCCATGTGTGTGCTACAGACATCTGGAGCAGAGCAGAGGTGTGGAGGGGCTGGAGAAAAGAGTCAAGGCCTCGGGTCTGGAACACAGATAACACAGAACAGAGAGGAACGGATCAAACTCACGACTCTAATGCACTCTGAGTGATCAATGCCACCATAAAAAACCGACTCAAACCACATGGCCACATATCAGCAAATGTCTCAGCCCTTCTGAATCAAACGCAAGACCGCCTGATCATAATCCCCCTCTTCAGTTAAACCATGTCACATTATGGATGGATTTTCCTAATAGTCAAGGAGTGACAGGAGAGTCAGACCTTCAGATTAATAGAAGGATCCAAGTCAATAGAGTTCAGCCTTTCTCGGTACAGGGGCGCAAGGGTTAAGAGATTGGAGGATTGGGGTCTGCCTGGTTCTTGTCAGTGGAGGTATGCAGGCCCATTCACCCAAATGAAGCCCACATGTAGAAGATGTTTAAATATAGCTTGGTTTTGGTTTCCACTGCCCCCTCCTTTCCCTTAGGCGTGTATTTGTGAGTGTCTGGGTGTCCGGTGTTGATCAGGCCTCTCTTTTACAACAACACAAGTTCTCAGCAAAGCACTCGAGGAATCTGAGTTGTTAATTATTGTGCTGGTTGACATACGAGACAACCCATGATTAGTTACCTGAGCAGACTGTGATTTCATTCCACAGTCAGTGTTGTATAATTCTTCTTGCAGAGTTGTTTTCATTAGATTAGGCCCACCGTGTTGTCTTCATAGTTATAAATCCTAGAGATCTGATCGATTTGCTGCTCAAACTGTGATTTTTGTATTGTGTGCCTAAGCCTTCAAAGCCTCGTCTTCGTGTCGGAGTAGATCTGTTAAGCTCCACTCTGTGAAATATTTGAGAAATGAGGCTTTGTTGGGCTTTTCAAGCTCTTTTCTGTTATCCAGACTGTGAGAAAACATGGGTGCATTTAATTCGGCTGAATCTTGCACTCGTGAAAATCCATTTGTAATCATTATAACACGCTAAGCAAACATGGGTTTACACTGTGTGCATGAGAGCCGTGACAGGAAACCCTGCTGCTAAAACCAGGTTATGACAGATTTAGGTGGTCAAGATGGTGTGGTCAAGATGGTAACATGATGGTGTGTTTTTTTTAGGGGGGGGTGGGTTGTCTAAGGTGCACAAGCTCTGATTAACATGGCTGATGAACCATCTGTAGAAACCATTTAAAAGCCAGCAACACACTAAAGTCATCATAAAATAGCATTTTCAGTCCGATTTAGTTCACTAATGTGACATTTTCAAGTAAAACTGCATGTTCAGTGAGGAAAAGGGCTGGACTAATTTTTTTTTTTCCCCACCAGTAACATTTTTCAAAGATTGTGTAAAGGAGAACCATCAGTGATTTTGCATAGTGCAGTGATTTTGCATAGTGCATAATGATAAATCCATTAAAAAAAGAAAAAGGGGTCTAGCTAACATTATTTTTGCCACTTGGCATAGATCAACTGAAAAGTGTGTTATTTTAGTATTATTTATATATCCTTATTAATGTTTACATTTTTTTTTTATGCATTTTATTTTTTTACTAATTTTATATATTTCTAATTTAGGTTTAATATTTTTTTTAATTTCAGTTTTAGTAATTATTAGTACTTCACCTGAAACTTTATTTATTTATTTTTTCCCCCAGTATTATTTCATTTGCCAAAAATATATTTTTTAATAGCTTTGGTTTTAGTTTCTCCAAACTTTTAGGCCAGATAAACATGTTCAGTGAGGGAAAACTTGATTT